ATCTAGCTCAACTGGCATAACACAGTTTATAAAGAAAATGTTCTACATTCTACCTTGGTGAGTAGCGTCTGGGGTCTTAAAAGCCTCTGAGCAGCCATCTAAGACACTCCACTGATCTCACCCCTTCAGGAGGAGGGAAGAATGAAGAAAACAGGATACAAAGAAAAGACTAGTCCAAAGGACTAATGGACCACAACTACCACAGCCTCCACCAGACTGAGTCCAGTACAACTAGATGGTGCCTGGCTACCACGACTGACTGCTCTGACCAGGATCACAACAGAGGGTCCTGGACAGAGCTGGAGAAAAATGTAGAACAAAATTCTAACTCACAAAAAAAGACTAAACTTACTGGCCTGACAGAGACTGGAGAAACCCCGAGAATATGGCCCCCGGACACCGTGGTAGATCAGTAAGGAACTCACTCCTCAGGTTCACCATTCAGCCAAAGATTAGACAGCCCCATAAAACAAAACGAGACTAATGGGGCACAACAGCCCAGGGTTAAGGACTAGAAGGCAGGAAGGGACAGGAAAACTGGTAACAGGGAACCCAAGGTTGAGAAGCGACAGTGTTGACATGTTGTGGGGTTGTAAACCAATGTCATAAAACAATATGTGTACTGTTTAATGAGAAACTATTTGTTCTGTAAACCTTCATCTGAAGTACCATTTAAAAAAAAATCTAAAAAAATGAGGACCAGCAGAACTAAAGAAAAAAGTAGCCTAGAAAAATTTCAGAACCATCCAATCAAATTATCATCATGCCTCACTTAACTGACCCACATGTGAAAGAAAAAATGTGAATAAGTTTTAAAATCACTTTAATAAAAGGAAGTATTTAAATAATAGTACATGCTAATGTACGCAAGTAACAAGTTTATTAATCAGACTATTTTGAATCTGTAATCCAAATCAACTCTAAGATTACTGTTATTTCATGATAATTTACATGAAATGTTAGAAAATTCAGGAAGCATCAAAAAACAGTTGTCCACACACAGATAGCTTTGCATGTTTCTTTTGTAATAATATCATCTTATACCTATTTTTTAAGTAAATTGGTAAAGATCTCCCTAAAATCCCAATTTCCCACATTGAAGTACAGGGTAGCCAATTCCGTGAATACTGTATTCATTTAGTCATTACTAGCAAATTAGTTTATAATGTAAAAGTTATTTTTATTTATATAACTCTACTGTAACTTTATTCTAGAGTTATACTACTGGCATCAAAACTATTATTTTATAAACAAACATACAAACCATAATCACATCTTTGTCAAAAAACAAAGACGGTATAATACAGTCTTTCAAATTTTATTGGATGTAACTGAAAAATATTATACGATACTGAATTTAAAAGTGATCTACGGCCTAAAGGCACTTTTATCCCCTTGTTCTAGTGCCCACTGGCTTTATCGCCTCTTCCTCTCTCCTGCTCTGCTTATTTCCTCTCTAGAGCCATCAGCACCATTTCTTTCTCGTCAAAGAAAAACAGTATCTTACTCTGAACTGTCAGTCTTCTCGTTGTCATGATACTGTCAAGAACAAAACATCAATTGTGAAACGGACCACAACTAGGAACAAAATGATATTGACAGAAAAGAAGAAATACAGAGTATTAGAATCTTGACTGACTCCATTTTTAAGAGTAGCCTATCATCAGTATAAAAATATGGCATATCCAGATGGATTGCCATTAATATAAATAACCAAACACAAAGCATGTAATATAATTACTACTGTTCTCCTGCTGCAAATACTGGGTCTTTTAAAAATCAAACTAAAAATTAGATCATTTAAGGCAAAATTAAAACTTATAAAACTTAACCCAAACAACAAGGAGCACTTGTGGCTCAGTGGTTAAGCACTCAGCTGCTAACCGAAAGGTTGGCGGTACCAACTCACTAGCTGCTTTGCGGGAGAAAGATGTGGCAGTCTGCTTTCATTAAATATTCCAGCCTCGGAAACTCTATGGGGCAGTTCTACTCTGTCCTATAGGGTCACTATGAGTCAGAATCAACTCAATGGCAACGGGTAACTCCCACAACAATACCTGTAAATTTCCATCACAGACCGAAAAAAAGAATGCTTGGAAAATATAATTGAGGTCAATTCACAATCTGGAAACATCCTTAATATAAAGTTTTTTTAATACAATGTTAGGCAATGAGAAAAAGACAGGGCATTTTCCCAAAATGTAGTAATCAATTCATACATGAATAGCAGCTAATTTATTTCAATATTCAAATGAACAGTATTCTTAAATAACTTACAATCACAGCTTAAAGACAGGAAATAATACTACTCACACATGATATATCTCTTGACTGCTTTTCCATTCTTAGCTTTCTTTTCCTACTCCTTACCCAAACCTCTGTAGGTTGATCACTCCTGCTTTCAAAACCTCATACTCCAACTTAAAAATGCCTGAGACTTAACAGACACTGCCTAGCCCCAAAGTGTACAAAACAATTCCTTAAAAATCCTATTTTCTTGTTCTCTATTACTGAAAAACACAATAGGAGTTTACTTAAGAGACAGTACATTTTTGTTAGTCATACATCAGACAGCTAAAAAGATAAAGTATGAAAGTTACTTCTAAAATTTAGTTTACTTTAAATTATATTAAGTCCCTGGTTTGAAACTATTTAAAATATATTAATAAAAGCAAAACGTATTTGGTCAAATACATATTTGACTTTTGGCTTATTTAAATTAAATACAAGTATGTTTTTACATTTATTAAAGAAATAAAACCAAGTCCAAGAAAACATATTTAATAGAAAATATACATACAATATTTTAGTAACATAGCAAAATATCTCACAGAATACATCTACTATGTAAACTTTAATAATCAGAAGGCAATGGCGGATAAAATTTTCTTTCATCATAATTTAAAAATTACATTTACTACTGGTACATACAAAGAAATTCTTCCACCATTTTTCAGGTAACAAAGAATAGATATTAAACAATCACCATAATCCTGGAGCCCTGGTGGTGCAGTCGTTAAGAGCTCAGCTGCTAACCAAAAGGTCTGCAGTTCGAACCCCCCAGCCACTCCTTGGAAACCCTATGGGGAAGTTCTACTCTGTCCTATAGGGTTGCTATAAGTTGGAATCAACTACGGAACCCTAACTCCAGAACTCAAATTACAACTCTAAAAGTACCAAAACCTTTTAAGTCTTCAAAAGAAAATACAAATTTTATAAATTTATGAAACATAGGATGTAAAATTACATATGCTTTATAAAATACTTTACCTTACTAATAAAAAATTAAAAAAACATATACTCGCAAAACCAGTACAAAAGTCAAAATCATCTCACTTTTAAGATAGAAGTCATCTGAAGGATAGTTTAAGATTTCTAACATTCCCAGTATGAGCCTGGTAATCCATTTTTTTTTAAAATCATCCTATTCGTAAATAGGTACATATTTTTTCAAACCTCATGACATGAAGTTGCTACACATTTTCTAACACTGTCAAACTATGAATCGTGAAAGTTGCTATATGTAGGCATTCTTGAATCCGTGAATTCAGCTGAGAATCTCATTTTTAAGAAATTTCAAATCCAAAAAAAATTCATCAATTGACTTTTACTTCAGGAAAATAAAGCTTTACTTGGGAACAAATATATTTCAGTATAATCCCTTTCCAACGAACTAGAATGATCAGTATTACAAAGGTATAAAATACTTATTTGCCCAATATCCTTCAAAAGCCAAGATCCCAATACAGGTCTGAAGGATGATGTGTACTTTTTCCAACAGAGAACAGCTGCATGTTCCACTGGGCTCGGTTTCCAACATCAGAGGCAGAAGAAGCCAAACCAAGCTTTCAAGCCTGAAGGTCACATGGAGCGTTTGCCCTCATCATTGATCTATTCCACTACAGCACATCTCCCAAAACACATCTCCACTTAGAAGAATGAAGATAAAACTCTAACGAGTTTAGATTTAAATGAAATTTACATTAAAATCTCTCAGGCTGGCGCTGCCTCCAAACCTTCTCCACCAACTACTATCCCAACAGTTTAAAACTATGAATGTCATTTTATCTTACAAACATGACAATTTTTTTAAAGTCCATGTTTATGAAGGTTCCTTTGCTTGAACTATATAGAGATGAAATAAAACCCATTATGACCGCCTTTAGGTTCCTGCTGACCTAAGATAAACACAGGTATTTTAATATCTCCTCCCATTTTGAAAGTGATTTCCAAAGTCTAGGAAGTAATGTTTCCACCAATAAATACCTTTCAGCTGAACGTCTGTTAGACGGCCATGTATTAGGCAACTAACGCAATAATCCGTTTTGCCCATCACTGAATCTACTCAAAATCTCTTACTGCTGACCTAAAAACATAAGCTCTCCACCCTAAATTCCACATTAGCTAGGCCTGAAATCAAGGCAGCTGGGTAGCATGATTTACTCCTGGGAACATATTTACCAAACTAGAAGAAAATCTTGGATAACTGGTGTCTATTCTGCTATTGTATCAATATCTACTTACTCATGACTCAGGATAAGTCTCCATTATAATTCAATCACAATGCCCAGCTCAAGAGCAAATTAAGAAAGTTCTTCCAAAAATACCAACTTACCCCATTCTAGGTATTCAAGAATGTTCTTCTCTCTTCTCAACGGAGAATTACTGCATTCATCATAAAGGCAAATGAGTATATCCAGTAAGGTCTCCACACTGAAGCACTGCCCATTGGTATGAGCGGGCCCATCCAAAATAAATTGCTCCAGCTGCCTCAAACGCACTTCCCCGGACATGGTGGCTTCAGATGCTGCTGGTTTGCCTTTAAATTATTAGGACGATTTTTACGATTATTCTTTGACCCTCAATTTTAAAAGGTGTGGTTTTACAAATAAACCACTTGTTATTTAAACAACTGTCACGCAGTGCTGGTGCTGAATTAAACATTCACCACACCAGCAGCCTCACTTAACTGAAGCGTCTTCGATTTCACACATATACATATAATTTGAGGGAAAGTTTCCATAAAATATATATTCTATACATTTTTCAAGAATACAATTAAATCGTATATTTAAATAAAATAATAATTATTAAAAGTACAACGGACCAAAAAGCCAATACTTCTTTAAAAAAAATAAGCAAAACTCTTCTCCTTCATTCAAAATGCAACTCATGCAACATAATCCTGAAATGAATCCGGCTGCATCATTAATGAATAAAGTCCGATCTGCATCAGCTATTCACTTCCCGGGAAGAAGAAAAATAGAAAAGGGAGGGAAAAAAACAAAATGTATATAAGAGAGAGAGAAAACCAAAAATTCTGCTGCAAATCCTCACAACCACCACTTGGATAATGCATCAGCGGCAATTTCTCCAAGGGAAAAGGGAGGGGGCGAGGTCCCTGAAGCAGCCTCTCCGGAGCAAGCCAAGTGTTGACCCAAGGAGGCTTTTCCTTTCTCCTCCCCGAGGTCCTGCTTTTTAAGGCTTTGCAGTTATTCCTATTTCCAATGGATTCCAGTGAAAACTCTTCATTTTTCTCCCCCTTCTCCCGGAGGCCTGACTAGCAGCACGGCCGAGGTTGGAGACACGGGCTGCGGGCGGCACTCGCCCCCGGGCTCCGGGAGCGGCGGCTACTTGGCCGGGCCAGTCCGCTCCATGTCAGTGATCGCTCGTCGGCCGGGCCGCGCCGGCGGAGAGCCGGGTCTCCCCCTCACCCGCACCGCGGCCGCCGCGCCGGAGGCTCCCGACGTCCCTGGCGAGGGGGGTGGCTTTTCTGAATTCAAAGAACACGGACGGCAGCAGCTGCGGCAGCGACAACGGCAGCGCGAGCGGCTCCAGCAGCTACTTCTCCCTCTTCTTCACACCCCTGGGTTAAGGGCATCTTTCCTCCGCGAGGAGGGAGGCGGCCGAGGCGCAGGAGGAGGGGTTGGTGCCGCCGGTGAGGAGAGCAGAGGCTGCCGCAGCCCGGCTCACAACCACTCCCTTCCTTTCCCTCCCCCTCCCCCGCCTTCCCTCCTCTCGCGCTCTCGGCTCGGCGAGGCTCCTCCAGCCCCGGCCGCACGCAGCCTGAGGCTCGCGGACAAGTCCGGATCCAATATGGCGGCGCCCCCAACACACGCGCGCACACGCTCTCTCCCCTGCCCGCTCCCCGCCCCTGTCGGAGCCCCGCGGCGGCCCCAGCCCGAGTCCGGCGGGGCAGAGCCGGGCGGTGTTTTACGGTCCCGCCAAGCCGAGGCCCCGAAGTGGGGAATGACCCGGGGCGCGGGCAATTGCACCACCGGAGGGGAGGAGAGGGGAGGAGACCTACTGGGCCAGCGATGCTGCGGCTGCAGCAATGTGGAATGCAGGGATACGGGAGGACTAGGGGAGGCCGAGGCGGCGGAGGATTTGGAGGCGGAATGACTGGCCCGGGCCGAGCTGGGAGTTGCGGCAGGACGGGGGCGCGGGCTGGGAACTGCGCCGCCGCCTCGCAGCGTCCCAGGTTGCCCAAGTTTCTCGTGCGGATCGCGCAGAGGAGCTTCTTCCTCATTCTCGGAGACATCACCTGTCTGGCATGTTTGCTAAGGGGGCCCAGAAGCAGACGGCTGTAGGCTCTCAGCAGGTCTGCAAAAGACAGTGCTTCTCTCACCGTCCCTACCTGCTCCCCACCCGTCCCCCAAATTCGGTTCTCGCGCACTCCAGGTTAATAATTTTCTAGGTGTCTAATTACGGCACTCTTGTGTCATTCCCCAGGACAAAAACAGTGACAGACTTGTATGTGCTACCGTCCAAGTCGCTTGTGTGTGCGAACGATAGAATTCCTCCTCTCTATTCCCAAAAGTTTCCCTATGTGGAGCATAGGCTTTTCTCATCCGGAACTATTCTAGCTGTGCCTGTTTATCGCCTGCCAAGGTTACTGCCTGCAGAGGACTCTCTTCAGCAGATGAAAGGAATCGAGAGTTTAGTTCACCACTATCATCAAACCTCCAGTCTCTCACTCTCTCTCTCTGTGACACAACACACGCTTGTAACCCAATGGCACAATGCAGGAATCTGGCCAAGAGTGGCAAGTCGTTGGTTTTAAAAGAGCTCTCTTTACAAAATACTCGTGGTGGATCTTACATTTAAATTAATATCACTAAACTGAGTCATTCCATTTTGGTTATTTCCTAACAAAATTGCCATCTCCGTTGAAATCCTATGCCAAAATACAATTATTTCAAATCTATTCATACACCTGAGGGGCAGTTGTTTTCTGTGTTAATGCCTGTAATTGCATCCTTTTACATCTTGAAAATCTGGAAGCTGAGGAAGAACTAGAAATGAAGGTCTCAAAATGAATGCTAGCAGAAGTTATTCAAATTGCTGAGATTCACAAAATACTGTGAATCTTCTGTGAAGTCTACACTTTCCTGACTTAAATAAGGACAGCATTATTTTCAGTGTGCTCTTGACACATGAATAGACTCAGACACTTCAATAGACCCAGACCAAACATCAGTTAATCATCTCCTTATCTTTATATGTGTGTTGTCTAATTACAAAAGTAATCAAAAAGCAAAAAGAAAACTTTAATCCTAACACAAGTCTTTTTTTCTATGCGTTTTTATAAAAAATGATGCATAGTAAAACAGTTTTATAGCCTTCTGTTTTCTCTTAGCAATGTATTATGGATGTCTTTTCAGGTCAACAAATAGTTTTCAACAACATGGTTTTTAAGTGGAGCCAAGACATTTTATGAGTTCATTTGGCCATGAGGTGGAGTAGCAAAGAAAGGAGCAATTCCTTCCTCTGCTTTTTTAAGGGCAGTACACCAAAGAACTGGCTCCAGGGTAGATATTTATCCAACTTGTAAATAACTATAACGAAGAATGAAAGACAGAACCTAAAACATGTTACCTACCCATTGCTATCGAGTCGATTCCGACTCATAGCGACCCTACAGGACAGAGTAGAACTGCCCCATAGGGTTTCCAAGGAGCAGCTGGTGGATTCAAACTGCCGACTTTTTGGTTAGCAGCCAACGTCTTAACCACTGTGCCAGCAGGGCTCCAGCTAAAACAAGTTAATTCTCAATAAATGCTAATTAACAACGAAAGTATATGAAATGTAGATGTACTTTTTAATAAGAGTCAAGCTGCCAGTCCTCTCTCTACCTATTCTATTAGTGGTTGGGTACCACCCACAGACCAGGGTTTTGATAGTTGCTAAATAACGTTTTTTGCGTTATTTAGAAAGTAGAAGAAAGAATTTGCTTTATTTTAAAAAACAAAAAAGCACAAAGAGAAGGAAAAAAGTTTGAACTTAATCAATTTTGCCTGAATAATTCCAGCTCAGAGACTTAATAATTAACTAGACACTAAACACATTGTGCAGGTGTTATTTTAAATGTTCCGGTTGAAGTGTGAACATGCTTGTTAATGAAACCAGTCTTCAGCCAAAGAAAGGCGTAGCTCCAATAGTCCTACGCTGCTTGAAGGGCTCCTGCAGAAGGAGAGGATGACAGGCTGCGTGGCCGGGCATTCCCTGGGGAAAGAGCCTAGAGGAGGTCTTCTTTGTGAAAGCCTGCTTAGGGGCCTAAAGATTAGATGTACACCACTGCATACACACAATTTGTTTGAAATAATTAGAGAAAGTTTTATGAAGATGGCTGGGAATTAATCCAGCTTTCAGAAAAGGAGAACAGGAGAGGACACGTAAACAGGAGGGTGGAAAGAACAAGGCAAGAGTCATTAATTCTAGTCGCCTGATACAGCTTTCTTCAATGATCCTCCAATTCTGGACTGAGAACAGGAGTATCGATCCATCAGTTAATATTTTTAACAACAATCCCCACTCTCACCTTGGCTATATCATAGTCCAGAACAAATGTAGGTTCAATGGTGGAGAACAGGGCTAAAAGCAACCTGAGTGCCGCAGCAGGACTTAATGTATGGCAGCGTTCTGAGTTGTTGTGTACTATCCAGTCAATTCAACTCATAGTGACCCTGTATGACAGAGTAGAACTGCCCTACAGGATTTCCTAGGTTGTAATCTTCACAGGAGCAGATTGCCAGGTCTTTTCTCCAGTGTAGAGGCTGATGGGTTTGTACTGCCCACCTTTCTGTTAGCAACTAAGTGCTTAACCATCATGCCACCAGGGATCCTTGCATTGAGAGTAGGAACCTCAAATCCCTACCACATCCCCTTTCAGTCCTGCTAGCACATTCTAACCCTGCAAATAAATGACTTGATATAGTACCCTCTAAGGATAAAATGGAGCCCAGGGGGCACTGTGGTTAAGACCAAAGGGTCAGCAGTTCGAATCTACCAGCCACTCCCTGGAAACCCGTTGAAGCACTTCTACTCTGTCCTATCGGGTTGCTATGAATCGGAATCAGCTCAACAGCAATGGGTTTGTTTTGGGTTTTAAGGATGAAACACCAGCCGATTCCAGCCCTCACTTCATGCCTGTCTCCTGACATGAGTAACACCAACTACAAAGGCTTACATTATGAAAAGGGAGAATTTCTGATTAATCATTGCTTCCTTTACAGAATACTTACAATGTATGAATACTGTCCTGGGTAATTTGAGCACATTACTTTATTCAATCATCACAGCCATATGAAGTAGAGAAATTATCATCTCAATATCATAGATGAGCAAACTGAGGCTTAGGGAGCTATATAATTTGTAAAAGATCACACAGCTAGTAAGTGACACAAGAGCTAAGAGACAGTCGCAGGCTTGTCTAATGCCAGCGCCCATGGTTTTAGCCACTATGCAGGTAAGTTCTGAAAGAGCTGCAGAATTTAGTGTAATGGTTAAGGTTGTGTATCAGCTTGGCTGGGCCATGATCCTCAGTCATTTGATAGTCATATGACGGTATGATCACCTCCATGATGGGATCTGCTGTGAGTAGACAATCAGTTGAAAGGGAGTTTCCTTGGGTGTGTGGTCTGCATCAAATATAAGTGGGTATTCTGGCAAGGCTTGTAGGCTTTTCTCCTTCTGGTTCCTGCAGCTGGCTCCTGTTCATCTGATCTCCAG